TTTTTAGTAGAGACAGGGTTTCACCATGTTGGCGAGGATGGTCTCGATCTCTTGACCTCGTGATCTGCCCACCTCAGCCTCCCAACGTGCTGGGATTACAGGCATGAGCCACCGCGCCCGGCCGAGGTTACCTCAAATTATCTGGTTGGGCCCTAAATGTAATTGCGAGCATCCTTAGAAGAGGGGGCAGAGAGGGATCTGACTATGGAGAGGAGAGGAAGTAATATGGAAGCAGGGACTGGAATGATATACTTTGAAGGCGGGGGAAAGGTTCACAAACCCAAAAATCCCAGGCAGTCGCCAGAAGGTAAACAAGGTAAGAAAATGGATTCTCCCCTTAGAGATTCCACAAGGAACATGCCCTACCAGCACCTGAATTTCCGCATAGTGAAACTGATTTTGGACTTCTGACACACAGAACTGTAGGAGAATAAACGTGTGTTATTTTTAGCCATTTACTTAGTGCTAATTTTCTATAGCAGCCATAGAGAATGAATAAATATGGGGTTAATATCTCCACACTTTCAGTTCATATCATTTGCCCCTTGCGAAGTCGATCTGAATTGCTGATATCACATCCTTTTTGTTAACATCAGGATGAAGAAAACCCAGCTTGTGTGAGTGTTTTTGCATTTGAGTCCACCGGCAATTGTCTACATGAGATATTGAAGCTTGGGAAACAGCCAGAAAATCTCCTCTGCTGATGTTACTCCAATGTCTGTGCCTGTATTATTATGGGACACATAATATCTAGAATTACTCTTGCATTCAAAGCAAGGTTTTCCATAGAAAGAATTTAATTTGTGCCTGTGTTGCTAAATCAAGAAATAATGCACATGAGGTGAAGCAGAGGAGAAAACCTAGCTGTGATTTTTTACTAGAAGAGATGCATCAGCATTGTGAGGCAATCTTATATGTGTTAAGAATAAAAACAAAAATAAAGGATGCACAGAAATAATAAAAACGTTTAAGTTTTTACCAAATCAGCTTTAGATTTAAAATATGTGTGTGTATTTATAGAAAAACAAAACATTTGAAAAAAAGAAAAAGGGATAGTAATAGTAGTAATCCATAGACTTCTCATGAAATTAAATGGAATACTGCACAGGAAGCCATTAGCAAATAAATGCATGCTAGAATTACTTCATAACTGATAATATTTAAAGCACATGTTATGCTTTAACTTTTATATAAATAAGAAAATTACATTTTTGAAAAAGCGAGGTTTTCACAGATGTGTGGCCTATTGAATATTTTAATTCTGTAACCATGACACTGTTTAGACTCATGCCACTTAAAATGCTCCTCATGAGTGTTTACTTGTGACAAAATCGTACCTGAATGGGTCGCTTCCTTCATGGAAAGTCTTGGTTTGAAACAAACACTCAGCTGAAGTAAAGAGTGTCGTGATCCATGGCTGTGCTAGCCTCTATTTCTTCCATGATAGTGAATAGTTCACGGACTGACAGCTGACCTGTGGATGACACCTTGGGCAGCCCTGCTTCAACACAATGGATCATTCAGCCTTCATGGCTGAGATCTCAGCCCTATGCACTGTCCCTGGGCTGACCAGTGTCAACCCTGAGCCTGAGCCATTTGATCACAAGGGATCACCCGTGTGCCTCAGCCTCACCCCACGTCCCAGCACTAGTGACATGAACTCCAGTCTTGAAGGAGCATTCTAGGGCTTGCTAAGTTGCTTGGGACAGTGAATAGAATTACCAGCTTATAAGGTTATATAAAATTAACTGTTTTCCAACCACAGGACTTGCCGGTAGGTTTTACAGCTAATGTGCATTGTAAAACTGAAAGGCACACTGAAGTGTTCCCTTTTCCAGCCTCTTCATGCCCCTTGTTGATGGGACAACCACGGACCCCTGACCGAGTCAGTGTTCTCCTAACCGAGTTCATGGATGGGACCAGAATGTTGAACCCTATTCCTGCTCTGATTACGGCCTGGGCTCAAGGGGTTTCCACCTCTAGCCCACAGCAGGGCTCCTGAAACCCTCCTTATTTCTCCCTGATGCCGCTCTCAGGGCCACCATTCTACCCTCACTAGGCTCCACATCCTTCCCAGGTGAGCTAGAACTGCATCCTAGGAACCCCTGTCCAGGGAAAGCTTCTTACTGCTCAGGCATCAGGCTCAGGTAGCTGCTGGCTGCATCTCTCTCTCTGACATGCCATCCCGCTCCGATCATTCCATCTTCTCCTCAGCAGCCTCCACCTCCTCAGTGGCCTCTCCTGGGGCCAGCACCTCTGCGACTCCCCACCATGCTCCTACACCTTGATTGCCTTTAGGCTCTCAGCAGCATGAGCTATGATGTCTCCGAGGTGTCATCCTTAGGCACAGCCTTCATGCCCATGTTTTCTGGGCTTGTGCCTCTGCAGCCAAAACTGAAGAGGAAGGAAGCATGAGGGAACTCATCAGCCAGGGACGGCAAAGACTCTGTAACAAGGGGAGGGCCAGGGACACAGCCTTTGCTGGGACTGAGAAGTCCTGAGCACCACACCCTTGCCTCCATTCTGAAAGGCCCATTTATCACCCCATTATCAGCTTCTGGGACCTAAGAGGCTGCTGCCAGGAGAGGGGTGGGAGCCAGTCTGGAAGAGGCAACTGGTCATTCACCTGCAGCTGGAAGGCACAACGGCCACCCCAGACAGCCACGTCTGGACAAGGGCAGTGGGACAGCCAGTAGCTAGGAACTCACACTGTGAGGGAGCCTGCTTGTGTCGAGACCCCAGCTCTACACTGACTGTCCTTAGAGCCTGGGCAAGTTGATTAACTGCTCAGTGCCTCAGTTTCCCTAGCTCTAAAATGGGGATAGTAATTGTGCCTATCATAAATGGGTGTGAGTCTGGCAGTGCCTGGTGCATTATGCTGAGAACAATTGCCTTACACATTGTGCATACCCAGTGAGCCAGTTTACAGCCCCTCAGAGGAGAGCCATCAGCGGGCATCCGAGGGAGCCTGGAACCCTGTGTTCTGCAGGTGCCTGGGGTCCCATGCCCAGGAGAAGCTGCTCCCCCACCCCATAGCAGTCTACAGAGCACCGCCTGGCCAGACAGACACTTCTTTGTGCAGGTGTCATAAGGGAGGTCTGGGTCCCTCCGGGCTCTGTCCTTCCCTGGCTGGACTGTAGCGAGCCCAGGACCCTTCCTTCTTAAGCCGGGCTCTCTTCTCCCTCCCTCCCCAACTCACAGCCTCCTCACCACTCTCTGCCTCAGACTCCGGACTAGTCTCATTATGTCCTTCATCAATGTTTACATCAGCGGCTGTAAGAATCTCAGGTCAGCCTCCCCCCACAGCCGTGAACCCTCCCTTTCTGACCCCCACCTGCTGAAACCTTTCCTCTGAGCCCTCGGGAGACTCCAGGGCAGCCTCTCCCTGGAACATTCACCCCTTGCTGTTTGGACTGAGACCTAGCCCTCCCTGAGACCTGCTTCCCCACCCTGCTGTCCTCCTGAGCAGGGCTGCTTTCCTCACTCCCTGCCCCTCAAACCCTCACTGAAGTCAGACAGGTCCTCACAGACCATCTCTGTGCCCATTCTGAGGAGCCCTCTAGTTCCAAATCCCTGCACAGGTTCTGTGACCCCGGCCTTCTCCCTTTCCTGGCACCACTCCACCAGATTGCTCTTGTGGGGCACAACGTGGCCTCCGTGTGGCTGAACCTAACCGCCAGGCATCAGGCCTCATCTTTCTTCAGCCATGAGCATTTCGTGGGTCCTCACCACTTCCCCAACCTGAAACATTCCCAGGAAATGAGGCATTTCTTTGCAGTCTTGGCTCCTCAGTCACATGCTATTGTGCTCTTTAAAAGACTGATAAACATCATGGCGCTTTTAAGCCTTGAGGGAAGTGCAAGGACGGCAGGGGCTGCTGCGTAAGTACCTCTCTGCGGTACCAAGTAAGACTGGGAGAGGAAGCTGGACCAAGCCACACACCATCACTGGAGACCCCCCCGGTACCAGGTAAGACTGGGCGAGGAAGCTGGACCAAGCCACACCCCATCACTGGAGGCTCCCCCTGGTACCAAGTAAGACTGGGCGAGGAAACTGGACCAAGCCACACCCCATCACTGGAGACCTCCCCGGTACCAAGTAAGACTGGGCGAGGAAGCTGGACCAAGCCACATCCCATCACTGGAGACCTCAGCTGGTACCAAGACTGGGAGAGGAAACTGGACCAAGCCACATCCCATCACTGGAGACCTCAGCTGGTACCAAGACTGGGAGAGGAAACTGGACCAAGCCACATCCCATCACTGGAGACTCCCCCTTGTACCAAGACTGGGAGAGGAAACTGGACCAAGCCACACCCCATCACTGGAGACCTCCCCTGGTACCAAGACTGGGAGAGGAAACTGGACCAAGCCACACCCCATCACTGGAGACCTCCCCTGGTCTGCACTCATCTTGGGCCTCCCTGTTCTCTCCATGTGCTACTGGGGCGCTGATCAGGTGATTAGCGATGCTGTTGCTGATCTGACTGCCGGTGGGGACTGGTGGTCCTTGGTGCATTCCAGGCTCTGCCACAGCCTGTGCATCCACAGGCGACTGGGCCTGGCTGCTCTCTGCCATCAGGTTTCCCTTCCATTTTTATTACTGCCTAAATAACTTCATAAGAAATCCTATTTAAAAGCAGTTTCTCCCACAGACCCACATAGAACACGGGAACTATTTTCATTTCTTTCTTATTTTCTATATTTATCCAAAACTTTTTTTTTTTACAAAGTAAAACTGTTATACTGGACCAAGCATAGAAAATTAACACCAAGACAAAAGTATGCCAGATTACAGGGTCTTTATTATGCCGGCGACCACAGAGGACTCACGTCTCTCCAACCTGTGGTGTCGAAAGGAGGGTGCCAAGACTTTTTATACCCGAAAAACCACCTTGGGAGTGGGGGTGAGGAGCAGGGATGGGGATGAAAAGGCTTCAGACATTCCGAGGGCTAGTGGATTCTGTAAATCACCTCCTGGGCGGAGACGAGGGCTCTGGATATTCCAAGGGCCAGGGGACTTTTGTCATTCCGTTTGTTACTTAAGTGGTTTACAGAAGTCAAGATAAACATTTGTTTACACATTATCTGGGTAAGGTGGAAATCACAGACCTTAGTTATTACAAGTCGCAGGAGCCAAGATGGCGTGGGTTTGGACTGCTTGCCTGTCACATTAGGGCCACAGAGAGCAGTTACTGATAAGCAAAGTTTAAGCAGCTTTACATAGTAGTTATTTCGCAGAGCAGACTAGCAGTTTTATTTACAGAAGCCAAGGCCAGCTGTTATTGTGAGGAGAATGGGGCAGCCATTACAACTTAATTTTGGAAAACAGCTTTGTCTTGTATAAAACGGCATTGCTTAGGTTCTAACTTTAGGTTAGCTATGTTACAAGACCCAGTTTTGTTGACTTCATCTAATTTTAACCTATTAAATGGGAACATTTTTTTAAAGTCTAAAGGCATCAAGTGTTGGCTGAGAACGTAAGTCACTGTAGTCACTTTGGAGAATAATTTGTGGTGTCTCAACAAAGCTGGACTTACTCCAAGGTTACAAGATGGAATTAGTATTCAAAACCAACTCAGTATAATTTCACATCAACAGAGAAAAGGAGAAAAACAATATAATTCTCTTAGTTGATGAAGAAAAAAAAACTTGATACAATTTTAAAAAATCCATGATAAACAATCTTAGCAGACTAAGACTAGAAGGAAACTTTGTTAGTCTGACAAAGGGTAGCTACAATAAACTCATATCCAATATTTTATTTAATGGTGAAATACCGAAAGCCTTCCCGCTAAGACTGGGGATGGGAGAAGAAGGCCTGACGCCTCCACTACAACTCAAAGCTGCAGTAAAGATCCTGCCAGTGAGTGTAACAAGGCAAGAAAAAGAAACAAGGAAGAAAGTTTGGAAAGGAAGAAAACAATCAGGTAAACACCGGTTACCAGCGTGTGTTCACTTAGTGATATTTCACCTGTCTTTGCGCTGTGACTTGTGCACTTTTCAGTAAAACATTTATTACAAGAACAAAATGAAAAAGATGTAATTAATCTCTACTCATTGACATAGAAATCTGTCTGTAATATGGTACCGATGGTGGGAAAAAACAGGCTGTAAAACTTTATGTTATGATTCTATTCAATGCATACATATCTTACATTTTTTAAAGTTTATATATGGGAAGAATATCTTTGGAAGGATATACACAAAAATGTATAATACTGGTTGTCTTTGGGGAGTGGAAGTGAGAAACTGAAGGTGGCCAGTACTTCATTGGGAACCCTTTTGTTGACTGAAAATTACAACTGAAAAAACAAAATTGTATGTGCATGGATGGGTTCCCATGGTGACTGCTTTGAAGAACAACATTCACTTTGGTGTGTAAGATGTGGTATATTTTTAAAAGAAAATAACAATTTCATTACTTTATAACAGTTTACTTATTAAAAAAAAACTAACCCAAATACCCAAATTTTAAATTAAATTTCTAAGCAAAGAATATGTAATTATTTGGATGTCTAATTGCTAACATTAAACAAATGCCCATCGATGATAGACTGGATAGGGAAAATGTGGCACATATACACCATGGAATATTATGCAGTCATCAAAAACGATGAGTTTGGGTCCTTTGTAGGGACATGGATGAACCTGGAAACCATCATTCTCAGCAAACTGACAGAAGAGCTGAAGATCAAACACCGCATGTTCTCACTCATAGGCGGGTGTTGAACAGTGAGAACACATGGACACAGGGAGGGGAGCACTACACACTGGGGTCAGTTGAGGGGAAATAGGGGAGGGACGGTGGGGGGTGGGGAGCTGGGGAGAGATAGCAAGGGGAGAGATGCCAGATGTAGGTGATGGGGAGGAAGGCAGCAAATCACACTGCCACGTGTGTACCTATGCAACAATCTTGCATGTTCTTCACATGTACCCCAAAACCTAAAATGCAATAAAATAAATAAATGGGAAAAAAATACTTAATGGTGAAAGACTGGATGCTTTCCTCCTGAAATCAGTATTAAGACAAGAATGCCCACTCTTAGCACTTCTATTCAATATTGTACTACAGGTTTTGCCCAGAGCAATTAGGCAAGAAAAAGAAAAGGCATCCAGATAGGAAAATAAGTAATACTATCTCTATTCAAAGATGACATGATCTTGTATAAAGAAAATTCTCAAGAGTCCAGGAAAAAACTACTAGGACTAATAAATGAGTTCAGTAAGATTGCAGGATACAAGATCAATATACAAAAATCAATGTATTTTTATAAACTTGTAATGAACAATCTGGAAGTGAAATTTTAAAAACGTTTCCTTAACCAGGCGTGATGTGTGCACCTGTAGTCCCAGCTATTCAAGAGGCTGAGGCAGGAGGGTTGCTTGAGCTCAGGAGTTCGAGAGTAGCCTGGGTAACATAGCAAGATTCCGTTTTTTGAAAAAACAAAACACTTCCACTTATAATAGCCTCAAAAAGAATAAGATACTTGGGAATGGATTTTACGAAAGAACTACAAAACTTGTGTTCTGGAAACTTCAAAACATTGTTGAAAGAAATTAGAGAAAACCTAACTAAATGGATAGATGTTTATGTTCATTGATTGGAAGACCTGATATTAAGACAGCAATACTCCCCAGATTATAGATTATCACAACCCCTAGAATTGCAGCTGATTCCTTTACAGAAATTGACAAATTAATCCTAAAATTTATAAGGAGACTCAGAGGCCCCAGAACAGCAAAAACAACCTTGAAAATAACAACTTGGCTGGAGGATTCATACTTCCTTATTTCAAAACTTTCTATAAAGCAACAGTAATCAAGACAGTGTGCCACAGACATATATTTCAACAGAATACAACTGAGAGTCCAGAAACAACCCATGTGTCTGTGGTCTCCTGATTTTCAAGAAGGGTGCCAAGACCATTCAATGGGGTAAAAATAGTCTTTCAACAAATGATGCTGGGACATCTGGA